TAAATAAATATTGTTTGTGCCGTTCCAACATAGTCGATAGATAAGCTCAATCAGTATACTATTAGATACATCTGACCATTGTATTCGACAAAAATAAGATGAAATAGATTTGAACAGTGGATTGTAACAACATCACTATCAAGAGGAACTCGTTTGAACGTAGTAGAACATCTGTGATGACTCTATTTTCGATTTGGCATATGTTAAAGATCAGGCATATGAGAATTAGCAATGATAAAATGTATCAGAAACGAATCGTTCTTATCAGATATCGTAATCAACGTATATCAATTCGAATTTCATTAAATTGACATGCGTTACCATGAAATCTATCTGGAAACGATCATTTCGTTATATGATCAGCTGGAATTCGTGGATCATGTAGAATACATGTACCGTTACTTCTACAATTTTCTTTTGCATTGTTGTTCTTGATACAACAGAGAGAATTTTGGAGAACAATTACATTGATACAGATTTATGCACAATGATCGCGACCAGCTAGGATGACATTGACAAAACTATTTGTCACTATTTAAAAATGAAGAATATCGACTATGTTCTTTTTATATTCAAGATGTTAATTGACTTCAAATGAAATACTAATGAATGATACTATTACTTGAATTGGCAAACGATATACTAGTAGAAAAGAAAATAATATTGTGAATGACCAACTGGTACGATATTTAAGCGTTAACATGTTAAACACATCAATGCAGATTAAATAGGTTTGATTCAAAGCTTTCGGCCGAGAAGAATACGGTAAATGAAAATTGAATTTTTCGCTAGTCTCGAATCGATATCTGACATGATGATATGAATTGATCACTTCATAAGTATTATTGACAAGATCGACAATAAAAACAAATGGAGTTTGTCATTCAGGAGCTCCAATTTGTAGAGTGACATTAACACGCTCATCTTAATATTCACAGAGTGAGATATAGAGCATTGGTAGACGTGAACAGTTGATATTACTTTTAAAATAAACCAGAATGTTGTTATGACATAGAAACTGAGTTAACGACATTTGACGTTTATTGGTGATCATCAACTCATTTTACTCGAGTAGATTCGTTGACATGACTCTTTTTGATAATACAATTCGTGAAAAAATACTGTATTTAGCAAATGAAAAATGTGGACTGTTGTTGATTATTCTCTGATAGGTTTCGAATGACTCATTAAGAGTGTAGAGAATATTTTTTTTCATTTCTTACTGAACTGATCCTAGAAGATTTTACAGAACAAGTTTAGTGAATCATTTTATAATGATAATTGAAGTGTTCATTACATACATTATCAAGATCGGTCTATATGCTCGTTCTATAAGAAATATTTACAACACAATCGATCATAATTGAAATTCGTGTTGCTTTATACATGTGTTGCCACAGTTCATTTTCCACTCTAGCAAAGTTTTGAATTTTTTTCTTATATCAGGGCTCGAGAGTATTCAATGAAGTAACAAGCAAGTATTGATGAATAGAGTCACTAGATTAGAATCTATTATCCTCATCAATAATAGACACATTTGATATTGATGATACAGACTCATTATTCATCGCAATTAGAACTGGACAATGTTGCAGACTAGATAGAAATAGTCAAACATTTTCAAAAGTACTAATGAGAATAGTATGAGCGTTTGTGCTGTTACAAACTCGATATCTGTTCATCTAAACATATATTCATGTAATAAACATTGCATCAGATAAATCTCAAACACTTATTTCATCATCGGATTCATGCAACAATCACTTAATCTAATTTTATTCGGTCGTTCGATTCTGCTTCAGAATGTTGTAATAATCATAATAAAGAATATTGGTAAGAGAAATAGGCACACTTAATAAGTTGGTAATCCAAGATAAATGAGCCATATATAACGGAGATCATTATTGTTATAGAAGGTACTTAAGACGAATGATAAGATACCAATGATGGTATATATATTTTTCATGTATGTTCGTTCTCTGTCTCTTGTTACATACATATATTGTTAATTACGTAATTAGGATGGACTGTGGATGTCGGTGGGAGTGAAAATATTTCCTTTGACTACACCCACAACAACACACAATAAAATACCAACGAGAAGAAGAAAAAATATGTTTCTGGTCGCATCTATGTTCGTTGAATAGGTTTTTGTTTCGTCATACAATTAAGTTTGGATATCTTGTTATATAATTAAATTCATATTCAACTTAAATATTTTCCGTAGCAATAAAAGTAAAATGTTGGCTGAAAACAAAATCAGAATCTTCTTTCCCTTTCAAATTGTTTTATTGAGTAGGAAGTAATGATATCTCGAATAATCAGAATACATATCAAAATTTATTTTTCATTCCATTGAATTACAACGATTTCATTCAAGGAACAAAAGGATCCATTTCAGTAGTTTCTAATTTTGACTCTTCGTCTAAGTTAGCTGTTTCTTGTTTCCATCTTGTATACGACTCAGGAGAGTTTGCTAATGTTCGAAGATATTCTGCTTCAGCTGTTCCTGTTCGTTCTGCTAGTAAAGTAAAATGAGATTTGACATTCGACAGTAACACTTGCGGTGAATCAAACTCGACTAACATCCCATTACTAAGCACCTAAAATAACAAATAAAGTTGTACATTTCTGAAAGAATATCAAAATGCAATACCATGATACGATCGCTATCAATCACTGTACGCAAACGATGCGCTACTGTCAATACTGTACATTCTTTGAATTTATCACGAATAGCTTTTTGAATTAATTCATCCGTTCTAAACAATAAATTCAATCATTCTTCTAGGTTTTCGTCATATTTTTCACTCACACATTATCCACATTACCAGTTGCTTCATCAATCACAAGGATTTTATTCTTTTTCAATATAGCTCTTGCTAAACAGACCAGCTGTTTTTGACCAACACTCAAATTAGATCCACTTTCACTTACTAATGAATGAAGACCATTGGACATCCTATCTGTTACTAATGTTTTCAATTGTATCTATATCATCGAAAAAGAAACAAATGTATTTGATTATTAGCAAAAATGTGATGAAATGATGACAAACTTGCTCAAGTACATTCCATATTTCAGCATCTGAATAAAGACCAAATGGATCAAGATTACTTCTCATTGTACCAGTAAAAAGAACAGGATCTTGTGGAATAACTGAAATACGACGTCGAACATCATCTAATCCAATTGTTACTATATCAATATTATCAATAATAATACGACCATCAACAAGTGTACCCATTCGAAAAAGAGTTTGAATGAATGAACTTTTACCAGCACCTGTTCTTCCAACAATACCAATTTTTTCACTTGGTTTAATTACTAATGAAATGTGATGAAGAGCCAATTGTGTATAGGATTCTTTCGAATGAGACATAGAAACATTTTCAAAAACAATACAACCTTGTGATGGCCAATTTGTTGGTGGTCGATATTTAGCTGGTCGTCTTTGAATAGATAGTTCTTGATCAAGTGAACAATATTCAAGAACTCGTTCAACCGACGTCATTTGAGTTTCAACTTCTACTGATTGTCTAGAATAAAATAACGTTTTCTAGGAAAAAACAAGATGCACATTTTATTTTCATGATCTCACCTGATAGTCCATTGAAAAATGTCCATTAGACTGATACTATAAGTGAGTGTGAGAGTGATTTCTACAGTTGAAAATTGATGTTGACTTATACGAACAATTATAGCAAGTATAATAACCAAGGCAATAAATATTAGAGATACCCAATCAAAACGCATCGCTGACCATCTATTCAATGTTGCCATTAAATAGGCGACTCGTGTATTATTATCGAGATGAGAATGAAATTCTTTAGAAGAAATATTTTCAGCATGATAAGATCGAATAACTTTGAGTCTATGAATAGTTGATGTTAATTGTGAATAAACAGGACTTCGTGTAGTTCCTACAAGTCGTTTTAAATCACGAGAGCATGGAGCAAATCGATATCTCAAAAAGAGCATGCCGCTTGAAGCAACAACTGCTGGAATGAATGACAATGGATTGATTAAACCAACTAGAATAATTGTACCAAAAAACTTGAGATAAACACTAAGTAAATATATCATGTTTAATAGACTAAAAACAAATAATATTTACCCCGAAAAATTCAAACATAGTCATTGGTAGAGAATCATCCATCGTAGCAACATCACTTGTAAAACGATTCAATATTCGATCTATATGTAAAAATATGAAAGACAAATCAAAACTTATGATTCTCAACTCTGCACATTTGTATCTTCTTAACTTAAATTTATCATAGTTAAAGAATGAAATATATTACTTAACGATCATCTAGTTATTGATAATGGATTACGTTAATACATTACTAGTTCGATAAGACTACAATGATTTCTATTAGGTATTTTTGTATATTGCAGCAATATCAGATTCTTTTTTCGAACATCATCTATTATACAGTGCTGGACAACAGTAGCTGCTCCTCATGCAATGCTTCTATTTTTTATTATATTAAATTAATATTTTGGGTACATATGTGCGACAATATATTCTAGTTGCAAGCAGCAATTCATTCTATATCAGTAAATCTATGACTTGGGTTTATTATCTCAAAGCGTACTTATTACTTAGCTCTTGATTTTGTATCATAGAATTAATTATCAATTAGAAAATAAATCATTTACATACCAACTGGATTCATATCAAAACATGATATAGGACATCGAATAAGTCGTATAAACATTCTGAAAATGAGAAGAAACTATAAGATTAAAGTTGACAATAACTTGCTTGTTGTGAAGCACACGTCCAGCATTTAAACATACAAGTCGACAGAAAATAGTACGAAGAAATATCAAGAATGTAAGTAAAAATACTAGAGCTAAAATTAAATATAAGACAATACAAAATCCACTATATTTCATTCTTGCAACTGACCACTAAATATATAAAATCGTCGATTTCGATATGTATTCCATTCAGTATCATTCATTCGATATATTGTATCCGTTTTATTATCTCATATACTCATACAATTAGTTGAATTCTGAGAACGACGACTTTCATCATTACTCCATGCTGCTAACCACCAATTACTATAAATCGATATGACTTGTTGTGATCCAAATGTAATTATAATTAATAGAAGGCCCAAAATGACACCAACACCAGCTTGAAGATATGATACATAAACGTTCAAATTGACTGTTCCTTCTTGTTTTGTTTCAAGATTTTTTGGCAATTTATTTATATCTTCTTCATCTGCCTTGTTTTTCTCTGAATTTATTGAATCAACTATTGATTGTTGATCTGATAATGAAATCGATTGTTGTTCTTGTTGATGTTGATTTATATCTTCAAGAAGTTGAGCAAATGTTGATGAAAATACCAGTAATTCCTCATATGTTCCTATTTGTATCATTTCACCCTATATTAACATATGTATACTGAATTATACAATGAAAAACGAAGATTTTTATTTCTAAACTTACATTATCAAGAACGATAATTTTCTTTGAATCTTGTAAAAATTGTATTTGATGAGTAACTAAAATACATATCTTATCATGAAGATACTTTTTAATTGATCTAAAATAAATTCATCAATGTTTTAATGATAAAAAAAAGGAACAACAATTCAATATTAACTTTTCAAAGAGATGTTTAGAAACTTTCGCATCAACAGCTGAAAGTGGATCATCTAATAGATAAATATCAGCATCACGATAAAGTGCTCTTGCCATATTGACACGTGCTTTTTGACCCTATGAATTTCAGATAATAAATCATTTAAATATTTTCTATTTCAAATAGATTAGTGTATCTTACACCCGATAACATAACACCTTGATCACCAACAAGTGTATTCGCACCATGAGACAATTGAACAAAATCCTAGTCATTAAATACAATTGCATATCATTTTTTATACTCAGTCAAATACGAAAGCTTAAGAAACTCATGTATTTCCAATTGTTGTCCATAAATATGAAAATATTCATTTTGTATTGCGTTCATATGTATTTTTGTAAACTTCTATATTTCAATATAGGAATTAAAATATACCTACTGTATCGAGGGCAGTTGCATGAACAACACGTTGAAATAGTCTATCATTATATTCTTTACCAAAAAGAATATTATTTTTTACTGATAACGAGAATATCCCTATATTTATCATTGAATAAATTTCTGCATAATAGTAATCAACTTACATGATTCTTGTGGTACATAACAAAATGATCCATACAATCGAACTTTTCCATCAAAATAAGTTATTTCACCTGTTAATGTTTGTAACAGTGAACTCTAAATAAATTAAATCACAAGTGAAATCATAGTTAAATGGGAAACAAGAGAACACAAACTTTTCCACATCCAACAGGTCCAATAATACAGATTAAATCACCTGGATGAGCATCAAAGAAAATATTTTTCAATGAGAATTTTCCATTCTAAAGTAGAATCAATTATTATTTTAGTTAGAAGGGAAATTATAAGAACATTTACATTTTCCTATTGAGCTTGTTTTAAATTGCATATCACTTCAGGTGTTCGTTTTATTAAATTCGTATCAATCTTATCTATTTCTATAATATCTTTGAACGATGTTGATAACAGTCGATTGTCTCTTTCAGATTCATGAAGTAAGAGAAATGCCTATATAGAATATTTCCTTTGAAACATAACAATCAAAAATCGGTTTAAGCGAACTCGAATTCGTTTTTGAGCTGCGACATAATTAAGAACATCACGAATAGCGAAGTTAAAAAAGCTAATGCAACATTGACGTGTATAATTAAGTAATACATACAATAGAGTAAATAAACCTGTATCAAATTTTATATTGAATGCCCACATTATTCCATACATCAGTAAAAATATTATATTGATATAACTATGTGATAAGACCGTTTCAATACAAGTACACATCATAAATAGAGTATTTTTAATCACTTCACGTCTAGATATATCAACATTTTTTAAATAAAACGTTCCTTTATTTTTCAATGGATTAAGCTGACCAGTAGAATCTACATGGTAAAGATTCAAAAATATAGTTTAGATGGACTTCAGAGCACAAAAAAAATCGTCCATAGGAGAAGTCAAATGCGACTAAAAGTAAAGTAAATGTGCCACTTCTAATTTAGCCAGACTATTGAATGAATATGGTACTACACAATTGTAAAATATTGGATGTTATGACTTGAACATTATGTTAGGACTATGATAATATTGCTGCGCTCGTTTTTAAGCATTCAAATGCCAACCATTAATGCACGATTCAGAAGTGTTGCTATAAATGTTAGCCTCAATATTCTATTAATTAGTCAAAATAATATAGTTGAAGATGAAAGTAGTTAATTATTGGGTTTAGACTATCAAAATAGTAAAAAATCCTTGTTATATTTCTATTTTAGAATGAGTATAGAGAATAAAAATTAGGTAACTATAATAATATTATTTATTATTGAGCACGAGCATTGACATTTGAAATGTATCGTGTTGAGATATGATAAACACTGAGTGTGTTATACATCGACGAAATGATTTTGCTTCATATGATTGAATCCATTTATCTAGCTTAATGACCAAATTAATCGATTCTGTTTGGCATATTATCAATATTTGCTGTTAATTATTAACGTATATATTCATGTGACACAGTGTATAGGATGAATATACCGGGTGACCCAAAAGTAAGAAAACAGAAAAAAAATTGAATATCTCCATTATGGCTCAAGTAAACGAGCTGATGTTTTTGTCAATGATGGAGGCATGTTCAAGCTTTTATATCCATAAAGACATGCCTAGAGACGTTCTTTGTTAAGTATCACCTAGTGATCTCAACGAAAAAAATGACTTTTTTTACAAATATGAAAACAACAATATACTTAACAAAGCGGTTCTCTAGGCATGGCTTTATGAATATAAAGCTTGAACATGCCGTTATCATTGGTAAAAAAAGCAGCTCGTTTGCTCGAACCGTAGTGGATATATTCAATTTTTTTTCGATAAAGTAACTTTTGCGCTATTCTGTATATTGTTTTTTCTTCTATCTGTGAAAAAGTAAAATTTTCTTGTTGAGATCAATAGTGATACTTAACAAAGGGTCTCTCTAGGCATGTCTTTATGGATATAAAGTTTGAACATGCCTCTATCATTGACAAAAACATCAGCTCGTTTACTCGAGCCACAATGGAGATATTCAATTTTTTTTGTTTCCTTGCCTTTGGGCCACCCGGTATAGGTGACGATGTTACGTAATGAGAAATATCGCATTTTTCTTTTCTTTTTTCGTTTCTCAATAAACATACACTATTTTGATACATAACAAATATTGTCCTCAAATAACGTTTTTATACTTTGCTTCAAATGATTGATGCAAATAACTTGATTATATCTATAAATAATTGCTTATCATATAAATATGTATATACGTAGCTGTAATATACTCGATAAAAATTATTAAAAAAAAGAAGTATTAAATCATTAATATGAACATGGCATGGTATAATTCAATAATCCTATATATATTCATTATTATATATTCATGGTTTGTAAAAGTTGATTTAATTGATGCACATCAAATTGATCAATCGTATGGATGTTATCCATCTGTATTATATGTATGGTCTGGACA